TTAGCTGTACCAATATGTGTTTCACAAGTTTCTATAACTGAATCGCAATTTACGATATGTGAACTTAAGCTGGCAAATATTATTTAATGTCTTGTATGATTGTTAGGAACATCACCAATGACAGTACTCGCTATTGGGAGACACCATGCTTTAAAACCATTTTTTTACGCGTTTGTCGTTTCTATAACTGAATCGCAATTTACGATATGTGAACTTAAGCTGGCAAATATTATTTAATGTCTTGTATGATTGTTAGGAACATCACCAATGACAGTACTCGCTATTGGGAGACACCATGCTTTAAAACCATTTTTTTACGCGTTTGTCGTTGGGTTCTCAAAATAGTGACTAATTCATGTCTAGAGATTACCGCAAACCTAAATGCATTTATTTTTTTAATTGAAAATTTAAAAAAAAAGGTGTCTGTAGTATTAATTTCAGTGTCTACCAAGAAAATTGTGTATACGCATCACGCCGTCGTGTCGATTCGTAGTTATCAACTGTAAACACGGTTTCTGCACGCGAATATGCATACATTGTGTTTATAAATGGTCAGACATGTAAGCAATAACCCGGAGCTATGCTGGAACAAAATGCTCAGAAATGTAGGCAATGACATGGATTAATTTACGCAAACGTGATGGCCAGTACCTACCGATGTCGCATGTTTTTCCTGTGTAGCCTTTATCACAGCCATTTGGACACCAGCCAGAGTTCACCAAACAGGATGTATTGCTTGAACAATGACACTCGCTCTCACACTCATGTCCGTAGTGCTGATTGTCACAGAGGGAGTCTGCAAACAAACGGGAAGGTTGCAGAGTCATAAGGCGGGGTAGGGTGTTGGGCTTTAGGAGTGGCAGTAAGTTTTCGAATTCCAGTAACCTAAAAAAGAATATAAGATGCAGAACTACACATGACATAATAAAAGTTAAATGCGAAAACAGACATCTGAGACAAAAATATGAGTATTCAAAAGAAGTGGGAAAAAAAAGAGGAATATATAGGCAAAAACTGAGTACCAACAGCTTTAAGACGAATCATATGGCGCTATGATGGACAAATCCTGAAAATAAACCAGCAGAGAATAACCAAACACACATTAAAATAGGAAATAAAGGGATTAAAGAGGCAAGGATGCCTAAAAGAAACCCTAAGACGAAAGTTGATGAGAAAGGCCAAAGCTGCTGGACATGATTCCATCGATGATATTAAACTGAATGCACTCGATAAAACTGAATGGATGAATATACTTTGTGCCGTGTGTGACATAAATTGGCACAACAGGAAAAAGAATGAACGAATGAAATAATGTCAGAAGAAGAGCGAGACAGAGGGATAGAGAGACAGACAGACATACAGACAGACAGACACACAGACACACAGACAAACAGACAGACATAAAGACACTTTTTTGGGTTTGATGACAGTACCCATTTCTGCATACCACTCAGTAACTTTTTCTATATTTGCCTGTAATTCTTTGGTTGTATTTTGCCTGTGGCTCCACTGTCAATATGCTTGCATAACACTGAAGACAACTGCTGAAATTGATGAACCCTGGAGTAAACCCGGGTAAATATCGCAGGCTTCTTAGGTCCATGTACCTATGTAGAGGGCGACTTTAAGTGAATTCAGACAAGTGCTATCCCGCTCACCAACCAGGGACACAGACCCCTCTCCATGAATGCTAAAATAAAAATGTCATATCAGGGCATTTTCATGATTAGATGCTGCCACAACTATCCCCTGTCTATTCTAGAACCCTTCATAAACATCAAAAGCAAAAGTCGCTGCATCTGACCAGTTATCTTCCCAAACCGGTAACTAACCAAACCTTTTGGCAGGAGCTCTTTCGTTTCTATAATGAAATAGCCTGCCGTTTAACAGCAATAATCTTCTCAAGCACCATGCCAAAAGCATTTTTAAGAGTGATAATCCTGAAACAGCTGAATCTGGAATAATCTTTGCCTATTTTTTGAAAGAAGTGTTCCACATCAGTGCACGAACGTCTAGAGTGTTGACGCCATACTGGTGCTCTCGTTGAAGTAGAAAAAGTCTTCATCATTCCCATCCCCCCCCCCCCCCCCCATGTAAGCATAACAAAATCCATCTTACCTCAGTGCAGTGTCTTTTGTTTTCTGCAATATTTTTGTATATCATCCACACAACAAATATTAATCGTATTCCATAGATTATCCGTAACTGATTTTCTACGTTCCTTATGATTATGCTCAGTTTGTGTTATATTTGACTGCAAAAATGTTCATCGGATAACTATATCTGTGAATAAATGAGGTTGTTTTCTCCAGGTCCGTTGTGTTTTGTGTGTCTCCAGACCAGAGCAGCTGCAGATTAGAAACATCTACTGCATGAAGCCCTATACAGAGTTTAAGGTCACAGACTGAAAAGAGGAAGGTTAGGATGGTGCAAGCTGAAGACACAATCAGATGTGTGCACGTTTGATAAGATTAGGCGAGAAGAGGAGTGGGTCAGAATGTCCCAGAAAAAGACTCGTGCGTGTTAGGTTCTGATTATTCTTCTTATTAGATGGATAATGTTGTCGTTAAGGATCAGGGCTAGTAGCCATGAATCAATAAACCTCTCTTCGAGTATCTCCCATGACTAATTCTCTTTGTTTATAGCTCTTATAAGTGTTTTTGCTGTCTGCAGGGTTGTCGCTATAGGTTTTTGTCCTTGTGCTGCTACTTTTTACTTTCTGCCAGTCTGTTAGCTCTATCATTATTAGGTGTGCGCCGGAGTAACCTGGAATTATATGTCAATTCTGCAACGTTCGCTGCCCTCCAGAGCTTGAAGAGCAGACGCTGAATCGGTAAATATTACAATATTGTGGACCTTTGAAGGGTAACATCCATTGCAGTCTTTAGGTGGTATTCTGCTGTTTCTAGCGCAATTATGCCGGCTTCATTATTTGCGCAGAATTGACCGCATGCATTAAAAATATCTTCAACAAATCCATCAGGATAACATATGTAGATTCGGTAACCTCCTTTATTAGAAGCTTTGAATGCAGATCCATCAGTATAAACATGTACTCATTCTTCGGAATAAGAATTAATAGTCTTTATTGATGAGTTCATAAGGGCGATTGAGTCAGACTGTTTTGTTTCTTCATTTACCAATTTCATTCATACTTCTTAGGCTTTAAAGCGAGCATGGGGTGGTAACTTAATTGGGATATTTTAAATTTTTTGAAGTATTTTTGGGAGGTGGTATCGGCCCTCTGCCTTGGCGGAGACATTTCGAGAATGACGCATAAGTTGAATGTGAAGTAAACATATGATTTAAAAATTAGAGCACGCAGTTTTATGCAGCAGGTTTTGGATAACTGATGAAACGATGGAAGAAGTGCTTCAATGTTGGTGGAAATTATGTTTAAGAAAAAAGGGGCAGTGCATGTGTAAACATTACCTATTTTGAAGTTGCTATCGTCTTTGGTTTTGTGACTTACTTATTTAATTCCCCTCGTATACTGAGCTGTGATAAATTACCAGTATTACATTATCCCTAATTAAAAACTAACTATTACTAAAACAATACACACATTTAAAATAACTCTTTCAGTACCAATTTATTTTTCTTCTGGGGTTTGGACAGCATTAATATTGAGCGGAATTTTTTTACTACACACGACAAAGCTAGAACTTCCCTAAAGAAAAAGTATTGGCTGTATCGGGACATATAATATACAACACTAAAGATAAATTAATGCAGAATAAATCTAAACTCCCTTTCGCTGCTATGGACGAGATAACTCGTCTGCCCGGTAAACTGCTACGGACGAGCTAACTTGTCTTCCCTTTTCTGTGCCCTCACTGCTAAGGACGAGCTAACTCGTCTTCGACTTTTCTAATAAATTGCTAAGAGCCGTAATTATCGGGAGGGAAATCGCAATATGCATTACATAAATCTGATCAAACTGACACATTTACATACAATGAAAACATATATCACGTTTTTTAGGTGTATTTAGATGCATTTACGTTATCCTGTTGCTTTGTTACCATAGAAGCATGGTCGGTGAATGGTAATTGTTTTTGCCCTGAAATAAATTACTGGTTTTGCGTTAGTCTACTTATTGGTTTTTTTTTTTTTTTTAATACAATATAACAAGAAAATGGGTAATTGATGTTAATGAAGAATTAATGGAGTTTCTTTAAAGGAGTAATAGTAAGGACTACTTTAAAGCGTGTGAAATATGTGCTGGGTTATCTTCGAGGCACGCCGGCGGACACGTGTACTTCTGGCTGTGGGCAAGACTGATCATATGACCCACCTATCTACATCGACTGCATTTGAAATGAATCCCCAGTAATCAAAATGAAGATATGGTCACGTTCTGACATGATAATTAATATTATTGTTAATGTTTTTAATATACTATACAACTGACATAAATGTGTCTGTCTATCAAAGTGTACAATACTGGTCCTATTTTCAGATCCATTCTCATATGAATTTCTAGTGTAGTTGGTATCACGTCTGCCTCTCAATAGAATAGTCCTGCGTTCAAACACTACAAGCCGTTTTTTTTTTTTTATTATTATTTAAAATTTAAGCTCTTAGCACTTTCGGCAACAGATCACCACAGTAATAATTAACTAAACATCCTGTCACTTGCGTTCAGGTGGATTTAGATGATCATTTTATTATGACGTGTCGAATTTCACAATAACCGAAAATCGGGAAAACATCTGAGACCGTATTGAAATATTTTGTTCAGTTTCATATTCTAAATTAAATCATCACCAACAGGTTTGTCACTTAGATATCAATCATAATATCTAGACTGGTGTCACCATCTGGAAGAGATTCATCAAAGACAGAGCAGTATGAACAGTTCTAGACCTTTTCACTTATCATTTAGCATAGAAAAATCACGTAAAAATGCTATCCCATCGAGATATTTAAAAAAAAAAAACAATTGTTGCACCGACCAATATGAACGTCGCAAACGAAACGACTTCCCATTGATAATCATAATTGTTCAAAAACGTCTTTATAAAAGTTCGTTTCCCCCACAAACGGAATAAAATTAGAGTGTCTCTATGATACGCCAGTATACTGTCGATGGTCCATTAGAGATACATTCATCGCTAGTGTACTGGCGAAAAGTCTTTAAAGAGTTTTACTGAAGCGTGAAATCATACATACCTCCATAAACCTCAACCTCACATAGGGACAGAGCCGTTGATGTGATGTTAATCAAAACAGCTACCCTCTGAACAGGTAGATCCTTGTGGATGATTGTGTAAATCAATTGCGTGTTTGGATCGGTGTCTTGATACAGAAAGACTGATTGCTCTGAGCCACTAAAACTTTCCAGTTTAAATCCCCGGAGTCGTCCAGACACACCTGCTGGAATTTAAAAAAAAAAGTATTATTGCTTTAGATAATAGAAGTAGGTGCTTATTAGTTATATGTCCCGATTTCTAAAATTACAGAGTGTGTGGTCCAGGTAAGCATGGTAAGAAAATTAAAAAAAAAAAAAAACCAAAGAATAGACCCACTGTCTCCCTAACAATCATGTCGTAAGAGTCGATTTATTGAGGGCATCCTTCGAGAAGCAAAGAACTAAACACCTGGATACAAAGAGGACAGCTAAGTAAAACGGATGTGCACGCGGGTTATGGAGCAAGAATAAAGACAAGTGATAGACAAACATCCAAAATATTCCGACAGAGTTTACAACTAGTGAAAGCAAAGGCGAAATCGTAAAAGAAGAGGAAGAAGAAGAAGAAGAAGAAGAAGAAGAAGAAGAAGAAGAAGAAGAAGAAGAAGAAGAAGAAGAAGAAGAAGAAGAAGCAGAAGAAGCAGAAGAAGCAGAAGAAGAAGAAGAAGAAGAAGAAGAAGAAGAAGAAGAAGAAGAAGAAGAAGAAGAAGAAGAAATAGAAGAAGAAGAAGAAGAAGAAGAAGAAGAAGAAGAAGAAGAAGAAGAAGAAGAAGAAGAAGAAGAAGAAGAAGAAGAAGAAGAAGAAGCAGAAGAAGCAGAAGAAGCAGAGAAATTATTTGAACAAATCAATGCAATTTAAGTCGCTATAGAAGATTTTCTCTTTTTAGTAATTATTACTGGGCTAGGGTTTTTAGGTAACACGCGTACTTATAATATATTCATATGAGAGAGAGAGAAAGATATATATATATATATATATATATATATATATATATATATATATATATATATAGAGAGAGAGAGAGAGAGAGAGAGAGAGAGAATAGGAGAGAATAGATGAAGAGAGAAAACAAGAGAGAGAGAGAGAGAAATAATTTCTGTAAGACACTGCAGCTGACTTATTTGGTGATGGCTCTCTGTTTAATTCCTTGCACCGTCGCTTGTTGATCTCGAGGTTTTAGAAATAAAAAAAAAAAAAAAATAAAAAAAAAGATGCCTGTTATCCCAGATCGACAAAGCCTAAAATGGGTCCTAAAAAAATCTGTTGAGGCAAAAGCAAAATAGCGTAATGTTGAATGCATCACCCAATGTGTGTTGATTTGTATATAACAGTTTAATAAATTCTCTGCAGCGGCATGTTGTAATTTACACAGATGGGCTTGTAATTCGCCATGTGAGAAGCCTTTAACTTTTATGGCTCAGGATGGAGATAGAACTGTGAAGCAAGAGTTTGGTCCTGTTGCCGTGACAGGTTGTCTGACTAAGGAGGTCATGCCAGTGACCAATACAATAAAATGGCTGGAGACACAGACTTTTTCCCGTTAAAGCCATTTCAGTGATTCAAAGATCATGCAGAAATATTGAGAAGGGCTGGATACAAGGACAGTAACTAGAGTCTCTAAATCGGTCGGGACTGACACATATCAGTTTCATATCGGCTTGCAGGGAAAGTTACTGTGGGGAAGAAAAGGGGGGGGGGGGGCGTCGGACGAGCCAAGGACCATGCTGATATTCTGCATGCTCTACGAGAAGTAGAACCAAGTGATGTCTAAATCTGCAACCAAGACTAGACTGCAAAATTCAGCATTAAAAAAATATGTGTGGCCAGACAATCGCCCTATGCAGGAAGCCGAAAAAAAATAAATAAATAACACTGAACTGGTGTTGTGAGCCGCTACTCGTTGCAGGTTTTACGAAGGAAGAGATCGGAGAACGTATGGATCGAATGGTTCGACGAGCAATGAGGATAATCTGTCGACTAACCAACTAACATATTTAAAATCATATATATATATTAAAAAAAAAAATTTAAAAAAAATTTAAAAAAAAAAGATATTTCCAGCATCATACACCCGATTCCCCAAATGAAACTAAAAATGTTCCTTAACATTTTGTTTAATAAGGACACTTTGAAGAAGCCAGTGATCACTATAATATTTTGTTGCGTATCCTTTACAGAATGTAGCAGTACCAATACCAGCAGATTTTGGCGGTTGTGGTCGGCACATTTTATATTCAATAGTTCGCCACAGCTCACTCAACAATCAGCTCTCGATACCACTGTCGAAAACAACGCAAGACAGTCTGCTGCCAAATAGTCTGCAGCTGTGACCGAACCAACCCACCGCAGCTTTACGAAACCCACCACAGAAGAGGCCTGTGTACTCTACTGATACATCAGAGGTGTTCTAGAGAAAGAGAGCAGAAAGACGTGCTTAAGTTTTGGGGGAGAAATCAGAGTGACTAGACACAAAGACAACCGTACGTGAGGTGTGAGTATGGGGAAAGAGGATGTTGATCAAACAAACCGCCTGTTCCATGCAGCTCTCCGCACAAGCCTTACAAACTGGTACAACAAAATGTGGACCTACATGCTGTTTAAAGGCATAATATTGTTAGGCCTTACAGACAGGTAAACACATTCAACAATATGCATGTAGTAATATCTTCTTTGTGTTCACCAGCTGTAATCGTTGGCAGAAAGTTCTGGTTGTTCCTCCACTTCTATACTGCAGTCCTATTCCAGACCTGACTGTTGCGTGTGTAATCGTTTTACAGATCTGACTTATTTGTATGCAGACTGTTGGTTTCTTCCCTCTCCAGCAGATGCACTTAGACTTTAGAGAAAGCTCCCAATAAATCGACTCTTACAACCTGCTTTTTGGTAGGCAGTGGGTCTTTTCATGTTGTTCCCTAAAACAGGGCCTCTGAACCCACACGGGGAGCTAGCGACATAAAATACATCACAATATACCTTTACAGAGAACTGTCATACATGGTTAGCAAAGGGCTGCTTAGCCCACTTACCAAATAGTATGGACAGGGGAGGGGTGCCGGGGGAGGGGGGGGGGGACGTGGTTGCTAAACTCGTGTAAAAATTGTTTAGTTAGCTTATTAACCCCCCCCCCCTCCTTTTTTCCCCTTATATTTCAGCGCTAATGTAGTCTATGTGCTTACCACCGCTTCGGTTGAAAATGAGATATCTGTTGACTCGACGTGGCTTTGACAGTGTCAGATTCCACGTGAGTTGGGGCGCTGTTTGTAATAAGTCAGTGTGCGTGCAAGTCATGCCGTCAAAAAATCCTGGTTCTCTATTGCCGTCCACAGCTAGGTCTGACGTGAAAATGACAGTGGTGTTTCCAATTATGTGAGAAAAATCAGAACTCTGGGTTGTGTTCTCTTTCAGTGCTAGATTACGACCTGTCAATGAATTTAGTAAATAAATATTTACACGACACACAATATTCCAATGCAGACAGTCAGCCGGGTAACAAGAGCATTAAACATACGTGGGGTGGTTAATAAGACCTTACAATTACTAGAACAGAAGTGACCTTGAAAGCTGAAAGTTAGGAGTGTGTTTATTACTGTTCAGTGTAGCCACCTCCAAAATGTAATAATTTCCTTAATCTCTGCTTGACCTTGAATTTACCTCAGGAATAGAACATCATATTTTTCCATGCCAAACCAGTTATCACAGTCCAGTGTGGCTTTTTCATCGCTGGCAAACTGAATTATTTTAAATAATTTGGACACAAACAATACATTGCACAACTGACTTATAGAGGTGATGACGCCATGCAGCGTCTGCAAGACCGACTAAAAACAGCTGTTGGCCAAACCATTCTGTGCGGCTGTTCTAGTAGTGAGGAACAAGACAACTCCTATCCCAACCCTACCTATTAAACAGCTCGTTTCTCCGTACACGAAATCCAATTGTTTTTACTAATTTACATATAAGTGCCAGTTGACTCACGTCGGTCGTGGAGAGACAGCATGGAAATAGAGTCGTGTAACACATACCCAAATGGCTAAATACACAGCTCAGTGATTCTTCTAGGGTGTCGAGACCAGTCAAGAGGAAAGAGCCCACTTTTTCATAGGACGTCATCTGCCTAATTCCGGACACGTAACTGACACAGACAGTGCTTTGCTTGTGGCATATCACACATTGAACAGGCGACTTTTGAGACTGGCTAAAGCAAAAACAATCAAAATCAACAAACCACTCCTTTATTAGCAGACGAAATGTATAAACTGGAATGATGCGTTGCTTAACTTGGAATGAACCTTGTTTAGGCCGACGTCACTCGTTCACCTTTGGTCTCCGACGTATTTCCTCTTGCCACGATTCACTCTCTATGATAGTTGCGACATAACTTGCACTGCTCGAACGTCTAGGCTTCATAACACGAACGCCAGTCAGCTTCCTCGTACATGCTGTCAGTTTATTCAATTACATTTGCTCCACAGCTTCCACAAATATTTACACTTCTATCGCTCACGACATATTCAAAACTAGTCATTCGCGCGACATCAAGAATACATCTTCAAATAACTGCAACCGTCTCCCACGACTTCTGGTGATCAACTGACCACGAGTCCAGCTCGGGCTTCAAGTCGCTTGCTCGACTAGCACCCAAGTAGCTCGTGCTGTCACTTGTTGCACGGCCTTTATGCTTACCACTGTGTAATCGTGAAAACCATGCAAAGCACCTCAACACATAGACAATTTGATCTTACACTGGTAATTAATGTAACTACGGTGAGCTTCTGGCGGCCAACAAACACACGATGTGTCGAGAG